TATAATACTTTGTCGATGCCGTAATAAATTTTTTATTTTTTTATTTTAATCTGTCTCATAAAAAAAATATATATTTTTTAATATGTCTGTCTAATATTACAAATACCTTTACAATTTATAATATATTAAATAAATGTTATTATTTTTTTATTACACAATATTAATAAAATTATTTTAGTTATTTTTATTTTATTCCTACTATATTACAATATAATATTAATATTTTTAAAACTATGTAAAAAAAAAATACTTAATTATGTGACGAAGGGAGTATATAATATAAAAAATAATTATTTTCAAAGTTCATTTTATATTTAAGGGTGTGTTTGTTTGGGGATTTGAATTTTTAGTTGGGATTTGAATAGTAAAAATTTTGAATTTGAATAGTTGTATGATGCGATATAAATAGGTGTTTGACGTAATATTTTGAATGTAAATTAATTTTTAATATAATATAAAAATAAAAAATAGATATTTAATTTGATATTTTTTAGTGGAAAAAATGAGATGAATAATAGATTAAAAATTCAATCCTCCAAACAAACACGCGATATATATAAAAAAATCTATTAACGGTGTGCTTGTTTGGAGGATTGGATTTAATTTCCACTACTCATCCCATTTTTCCCCCCAAAAAAATATCAAATCAAACATCTATTTTTTATTTTTTATATTGTATTAAAAATTAATTTTATATTCAAAACATCACATTAACACTTATTTATATCACATTATACAATTATTTAAATTTAAAATTTCTACTATTCAAATCTCAACTCAAAATCCAAACCCTGATCATACACACCCTAAATATTTTATCTAATATCTAATCTAATATCTAATATACATATATATATTTACGGATTTTAATTCACCACGTGGCAGTTGCAGACTTTTTTCCTTTTTTTTTTTAATTTCCATGTGGGTCCCTTATTAACATGGACTCCGAATTAGCTATATGAGTGGATACAATTAAATGGTCAAACTCTTCATGTACTTTTCACTTTATTGTATTTTCACAGTGCCATTGAAATATTATTATTTTTTATTTTGTTTATTCTAAAATAAAATTACAATTTCCTAATTTAATAACTATTTAACATAATAAATACCTTTTCAACTTACAATATATTATACAAATATTATTATTTTTATATTACACTATACTCATTGGAGTATTTTTATTTTTTCACTATAATTTAATATAATACTAATATTAAAAGATTTACCTGCAAAAAGCAAATAATACCTTACAATGGGATGGGAAGAGTATTGTTATTTCAGAAAATTGTATATATATATACATATACTTATTCTATTTCAAATACCTGCAATTATTTTTAGTTACTTACACATATTTTAAAATAAATTAATTTTGAAATAAAAAATAATTAATTATATATAATTATATATTTAAAAAATTAATACGAAAAAAATAAATAAAATTTTTAGAGCATGATAGAGATATTATTTTATTTCATTCTATCACCGAAAAAAATATATATATATATTTTTCTCATTATATTATTTAATTATCAAATTATCATATTTAATATTACTTACCTAAATTATCATGTCGAAATAAAAAATTACACCATGTTTAAAATGAAAGAAGTACTACCTCCGTCCCACATATTATGTCTGCTACACTGTAGACACAGTATTTTAGGAGGGGTGTAATTAGTAGATAATTAAGAATGTATTAGTGAAAATAATTATATATGGTACGTGGGACGGATAAAAATGACAACGTGGACATGATACGTGAGACGGAGGGAGTAATATTTTAATTTGAGCTTCGAACTATTAATTAGTGACATCATTTAATTCTAAAATTTATTTTAAAAAGAAAATAAATTATTGTCTAATTCTAATTCGATTTTAATTTATTGATAAAATTATTATTAATTAATAGTATTAAATTTTCAGTAAGAATTTTTTATGTAAATAATATTTTATTCGTTTTAACTGAAAATATTATTCTCTCCGTCCCATTTATCATGTTCACATTGTCGTTTATGTTCGTCTTACATTTCATGTCACTTTCCTTTTTTGAAAAATGATTATATACTTTAATTTTATTTTAATTTTTTTAATAATTTCTTTTTAAATTTAAATTAAACTAATTAATTATTTTAATCTTGACTATAATTATTTATATTATAGGATAATTATTTTCACTAATAAATTCTTAATTATCTACTAATTATATTAATCATAAATTATCGTGTCTACAGTGACCCGGACATCATTAATTTACTATTATTGTAAAAGTAATTATACTAATATAAAAATATTCTTTAATTTTTACATAAATTATAAATATATTATTATAATATGCTAACTTAATTTGTAGTGTGATATTTGCTCATTATTTTATAATAATTTGTTTATTTAGTCAAATCAATGCAGTGGTGCTTAGACCAAATAAAATACAAATGAAAAAATGTTAAAATTATTTTATAATTTTCATCGACTAATAAAATATTATTATTTTTAATATATTATAAAACTTCAAATGACCAATTTGGACAAAGACAAAAGAAATATTTTGGTTACCTTTTACTGTAAAAAGTACAAAAAAATTAAAGGAGTGTTTAGTTCCGGAATTCCACACTGAATTTTAATATTTATTATTTATTTCTTAAAAAATATCAAAGGTTTGTTTGCCTAAGAATTTTTTTGACATGATTTTCAATATATAAACTTTATATTATCACAAAAGTCAACATTTAATATAAAATATTATTTTTTATATTACCGACACAATTACACCTTATATCTCATATCAAAAGAATTTTTTAAATCAAAACACTAAACAAACTCCAAATTAAATATTTCTTTTTCATTTTGTACAATATATTAAAAATTAATTTTATATTCAAAACTTCAAATGACCTGTTTGGATCTACCCGGAGGAAGTACTTTAGTTACTTTTTATTGTAACAAAAAACAAAAAATGAAGGGAGTATTTATATTAATTCATAACCTTATGGTCATTAGTGCAACTCTTACGCTACCAAACCATCCCTTACGGACTATATATACGTTGTATTTGAACAAATGAATATGACATTGTATACGTTTCATATGCTTAACAATTTAATAATTATTTTTTATATTTTTATAAAAAAAATTCAATCTAACTCTATCAAATTAAATAAATTATACCCTTCCGTCCCAATACAATAATCTTGTTTACCATTTTTGTCTGTCCCAAAACAATAGTTTTATTTCCATAAATAACCATATCATCATAAAACTACCCCTACTATTTTATTTTTATTACCACTACTTTTTACTCTAATTACACTCACAAGGATAAAAAATCTTTTATTCATTTGTACTTTTTACCCACTACTAATATAATACTAATATTCTTTAAATCTCGTACCCAACCTAATTAAAACTATATTTATGGGACAGAGAGAATAGTATATTTTTTAATTTGTAACGACCTTTTATTTTTTTATCCTTTAATATTTTCTTTTAATTTTTAATGAATTCTTATGTTACATATAAATATGATACAAATTTTTAGCAAAATTGCTCTATTTTAAAAATAATGTATTGCACAACGAATTAAAAAAAAACAATTAATTTATTACTTCTACGGTGCATAGCACGACTAAACATACTTTGCTACAACATATGGAAACAAAATCAGAGTCTGCCCTAAATCTGAGTGAGAGGGTTCTTCAATACATTTATATATTATTTTATTACAATTAAAGATATTTATATATTATTTTTAAAATATTTAATTTTATTTATTTTGATTTAAAATTTTTGAGAATTTTTTGTTATTAATTATTAAAATTATAAAAATATTAAAATAATCTAGTAAAAATACATCTTCTAATATATATTTTTTTATATATATTTATACTGTTTTAAATGAAAACAAAAAATTACATTTCTATAAAATATATATTTTTTTCTTTTAAAATATTTAAAAAATAACAAAAAAATATTTTAATAAATTTTTTATAATTTTTAGTAGCTAATAATAAAATTCTAAAATTGTCCACTCACAAAAAAAACTCAACTAAATATCACAAAAAATAAAATATAAAATGTTATTTACGTATAAGTAACTAACACAAAACTATTATTTTACCACATTTTAGCACAAACAACTAATATATTAAGTTAATCAAATCAGCCAGCTAAAAGGTAACAACTAATTGTCAAATGCATCCCGTTCTGCTAATAATTTTTTTATTGGTAAAAGTAAATGGTGATTTATTTTTATATATAATATTAATTATAATTAATTAGTATTCAAATCTTATTTTTTATAGTTCTTATACATAGTAGATATTGGAAGTACTATTTAAAATAAAAATGATTTTTTTTTTTACTTTTTAATTATTTAAATAATTTGGATATGATTTTATGTTTGATATAATTTGAAGATATTTCGACAGTAATTTGATCAGTACATAATTATGTTATTGGTGAATTTTATAAATAATTCTTCAATATATTTTTAGATTGCTTTGTTTACATAATTTATTTTTATTCATCTGGCACTATTTATTTAAAAAAATATATCATATCAAATATATTTTTTTTTTTCACAAAATATCAAATAAAGTACTAATTTTTTATTTTTTATAAACTTTAAAAATCTAAAAAAACTTATGTCTGAACAAACCCTTTATTGGTTATTGGATATTTTTTTTAAAAAAATAAATAAATACATTAATTATATGGACACTTATGCAAAGGCTCTACATGCTAGTTATCATTATGGAAGCCACTATGGTGCTAATGTTATAGATGCTGCTTAAAGAAAAACAGTTTTTTGTTGTTTGTGTTAAAATTCAAGGAAATATAATTTAAAATACAGTACAAATTAAAAAAAAAATTACAAAAATATTTTTATTATATCTTATAATACAAATAAAATGATATATTTAAAAAAATTATATAAATATAACGATTCAAAAGATATATGTGACGAAAATAGTATTAAATTTAAAATTTGCTTTATTGATATGTAACCGTTGCTTTAATTAGCTCCCCATCATTATATATATATATACATATAAACCGCCCACACAGCTCCACGCTTCACGACAAATCCACCACACGGTGCAATGGACCAACTCCACCAAATCCGAGCCCTCCCCTACGCCGCCCTCTTCCTTTTCTCCGCCGCCGCCCTCCTCCTCCTCCTCGCCACGCGCCGCTGCCGTCCGGCGACTCCTCCGGGCCCACTGGGCCTCCCGGTAATCGGTCACCTCCACCTCCTCGGCCCCCGCCTCCACCAAACCTTCCACGACCTCTCCCTCAAATACGGCCCCTTCATGCAGCTGTACCTCGGGTCGATGCCCTGCCCAGTCGTGTCCACTCCCGACCTGGTTCGGGACTTCCTCAAGACCCACGAACTCAATTTCTCGAACCGGAAACGGTCCACCGCCATCGAGATCGTCACCTACAATTCCTCCTTCGCCTTCTCGCCCTACGCGCCGTACTGGAAGTACATCAACAAGCTCTGTATGTACGAGCTCCTCGGGACCCGCAACATCGCCCATTTCCAGCCGGTCCGGGACCTCGAGGTCCGGGCCTTCGTCGAGAACCTGGCCAAAAAGGGCGGCGGCGACGCCGTCGTCAACGTCACCGATGAGCTCATGAAGGTCACCAGCAACGTCATCTCCAGTATGATGCTCAGCCTCCGGGCGGCGGAGGACGACGGCGACGCCGACGCCGCCAGGACCGTGGTCCGGGAGGTCACCCAGATCTTTGGGGAGTTTAATGTTTCGGATATGTTGTGGATTTTTAAGGGATTTGATTTTCAGGGGATACGGCGGCGCGCCGAGGACATACGGCGGCGGTACGACTCCCTGCTGGAGAGGATTATTTCCAGCAGGGAGGAGGAGCGGCGCGCCGGCGGCGGCACCGCCGGCACGGAGCCGAGGGACTTTCTGGACATGTTGTTGGATGTAAGAGATGGGAAATCTGACGTGGAGTTTACTAGGGATCATCTCAAAGCTTTGGTTTTGGTAAGACATTCGATTGTCAGGCAATTTTGTTAGTATTATTTATTAATAATGGTAAAAAAAGAATTATTTTATTAAATATCTTATTTTTTTATAAAAATAAATATATATTTTTTAGTTGAACGAATAAAATATTATACGCAGTGTATTAAAAATAAAAATAAAAAATAAAAAATCCTTAAAATAAAAGATTATTGCAGTGCTATATTTGTAATATAGCGTATGTTTATGAGTATATAGCTTTAGTTGCTTCTATTCAAATAACATTTTTGGATAAAATAATTTTTGACATATGGTATTAAAATTTGTGTCAAACATATAAAATATAATATTATTTTTTAATGAATATTTAATTTTTTCACTTTTATAATATTTTCTTTTTTAATTTTATCATAAGGAGTATTTTGACTTTGTATAAAATATTATGTTTATTATTATTATATTTTGAAAATCACAATTCTAAAATAATTTTGGGTCTTATTAAGTCAAAATCATCCTATGTTTATATAAAAAATATAATTAATTAAATACATATTATAAATATTATAGGTGAGTTTTTTCAAAAAAACATTTTTATATATTTTTTAAAAAATATTAATATATTATACATATTTATTATTTTTATATTTTTTACATAATTCTTTATATTTTAATATTCATTCAAATTATCTTTAAAAAACAAACACCTCCTACAATTAATATTAATTTTTACTATTTTCCTATTTTTTTCAAAATTTCTTATTTATTTATTTATTTTTCTAAAAAATATCAATCTAACAATTATTTTTATGTTAAAATTAATTTTAATGCAAAATATTATATAATTACACATTCTTTTATATATACTAGTCCTAAATACTTTTCATTTGTATTTATCCATTCTACAGATTCGGAATGTCTTATACAGAAGTTTTGTTAATTTTTTAGTTAGATACTTATTTTATTCATTTAAATAAAGAGATAATACTGTCAAATAAATAAATAAATAAATAATGAAGAATTATTAAAATTATTTAATTTTTTTTTATTTGTACTTATCCATTCTAAAGACCCAGAATGTCTTAAACTCCCTCCGTCCCAATATAATAGTCTTGTTTACTATTTTTTTCGTTAAAAAACAATAGTCTTATTTCCATAAATAACTATATCACCGTTAAACTATCCTTACTTTTTTTTATGTTTATTACATAATTGCCACTATTTTTTACACTAATACACTCATAAGGACAAAAAAAATTTTTATTCATATTTTTTACCAACTACTAATATAATATCAATATTTTTTAAATTTCCTATGCAACCAATTAAAACTATAATTTTAACATAAAAGTGAGCATATGTTTTGTTGATTATTTATTTAAATACTCTTTTTATTCATTTAAATAAAAATATACTATCAAACAGAAAAAAACATGATTCAATAAAACATAAAAAAATAGAAATACACAAATCCTTGAATTTTAAAATATATATTCTACTATTATTTTTATAAGAATAATAGTCGGAAACAGTATTTAATTTATTATAGTTAACTGAGTTAATAAGTGATTAGTTTAATATATATTTTTGGCCTGTGTTTGACTATATAAATATTAATAATTAATTATACTTTTATCTTATCTAAATATATTTTTACTTTCCTTTTTTGTTATCATTCAAATTATCATCGTCTTTTAATAAAAAAATACTATTTTTTTTTTAAAAAAAAGGTAAAATTTTTTGTTTTTACATATTTTTTCTTTAAATTTATGACCGATCAAATAAGCACACAATTGAATAAAAGAGAGAGTACAAGACTTAGACTAAGGATTTAAATAAATTAAATGATAGACACTCAAAAGATAGACACGTAATTGAATTAATTAATTAATTAATACTTTATGCATATCTTAGAATGGATCCAAAACATATCTGGGGAAGAAAAAATAATTATTTTAGAAAATATAATAATAGGAGTTTTTTAATAATTAAATTTTAAACCAAAATATTATATTAATATTTTGAATCTACCATAAAATTTTAATGGTTAATATAAAAATATAAAATATATATATGTATATTTAATTTGATAATTTGTGATGATTTATTTGATAGATAATAATTTTATCCAACCAACTTGTTGGCCTCATTTACTACTACTAGAATCTTAGGGTGTGTTTGTTTTTTATTTCAAACAAATTTTATTACTATTTATAACGTACCATTTTAATCAAAACATTTTTTTTTAATAAAATATTACATTAAAATAATATTTAAATAAAAATTTAAATTATTACTCATTCCATCCCAAATATCCTACAACACTTTATTTTTTATATGTCCCAAATAGGGGTGTCAAAAGTAAACCCGATCCGAAAAATCGAATTTGTTCGATCTGAAATTTTTCAGATTCGGGTTTGGGTATTTAGGGTTTGAAAAAATCGGGTTGACTTAAACCTGAAACAAAAAAAAAATTCGTGTCGTGTTCGAGTCGTGTTTCGGGTTGATCCGATAACCTGAAATATCAAAATCAAGTTAGGTTTTGGGTTTCGTGTTTCGGGTTGACCTGAAATTTTTATTATTATTATTTTAATTTATAGTATTTATATTATTTTAAATATAAAATAATATAAAAATTAAAATAAAAATGATATTTTTTAGGTCAATTTTAATTTTTTAAAAATTTTCGGGTTTGTTTCGTGTCAGGTTCATATCGGGTTTGTTCGAATTTCGGGTGACCTGAAACTAATTCAGGTCAACCTGAACCCGACCCGAAATAATTCGTATCGTGTTCGCGTCTAGGATTTCAGGTCAGATTTCGCGTTCGGGTCGACAGTTTTTTTGTTATCCTCGTGGCTCAACCCGACACGAACACGACCCAAAAACACGAATTGACATCCCTAGTCCCAAACACCCTTCAATATTTCCAAAATAGGAAATAATTAATTATATTTAATCTCTACCCCACATTTTATCTCTTTACATCGTCCAAATAAAAAAATAAAAAATATATTTTTCACTCTATCACATTACTTAATTTTTAAATTATTCTACTTAATAATACCCACCTAAAAACTTATGTCAAAAGTAAATGTTACACCTTATTTGGGACGGAGGGAGTACCTTAATATCAAAACAAAGCCAAACAAACTCTTTTGTTGACTTGAATTATGTTTGTTTGTTCTTTTTAATAGTAATTTAAACATGATGTTAAATCAAAGAAAATAATACATTTTATAAAATAAATAGGACCCCTTCGTTTATCATAATAGTCATCATAATTTTTTTAAATGTTATATTTAATTTTTTCTATTAAAAAATTTGGTGGAAATTTATTTTATTTTATTAGTCTTTCCGTCCAGCTACAAAATATATATCCAATTACAAAGTAACTATTTCATTAATACCTCATTGTTTTCCACAAATACCCTTACTTTACATCACATCATTACTTTTATACCAAAAAACAAGGGCAAAAATGTCATTTCACTACTTTATCCGTGGACGGAGGAAGTATTATTTTTTTTCAGTATTAAATCAAATATTTTATGTTATATTTACATATATTTTTCATATTATTTTTTGCGTTATTCCTTAACATTATAATTTTCTTAAAAATATTAAAATTAAAATTTTATTTTTATTTAATATATATATATATATGTATATATTAATGAAATGTTACATTTACATCTCACGTCCAAAGTCACTGTGTTAGTCCCTCAAAATTTAATGCTCAACAACTATTGCACAAGTTTATTTCTACATTTATTTAATAACATGATACGTATTTGTATTTTATTTATTATATATAATTCTTATACGTATTTGTATTTCATTTATTGTATATTATTATTTTGTGATATATTATAGTATGCATAAAATGTCTAATTCCTTTAAAGCTATGGTTGATCGCAAATACGTACATAATTATAAGTGTTATACAAATAAAATAAAAAATCTTAAATATTATTTTTTGAATAAAATAAATTTAAAAAATTAATCAATTATTCATTTCACAATATGTAAAAATGATATCATGATCCGTCTTTATTTTACAAATTGTGAAATAAAAGGTTGATTTTTATTTATTTATTTATTTATTTTAGTTAAAGATAAATATTTTACCTATTTTATTTGTATAACATGCTTATATTTACAAGCAATGACAACTTTATGAAAATAAGTATTTTGTGCATAATTATATATAACAACAAAAAAAAAAAATGCAATAAATAAAATATATACATTATGATAAAAAGATATACGTGTATTATATAATTTACTCTTTTATAATTAATGAGTTGAGCATGTAATACAAGGCTTTGATTATATATAATCTATTAATTAATATATATATATATATTTTAAAAGAAATAGATATCAAAATATATATTCAACTTCTTATCATTATTAAAAATTTTCAAAATTCCAAAATTAAATTCTCTTTTTTTTTTTTTTGTTTTTTTTTTACACAGGATATTTTGAAAAAGAATTTTTGTCTAATTTCGTGAGACTGTTGAAAAATAATTTTAATTTTTGTGAGGTATAGAAAATTGTGTATGAAATATAAAAGTAATAAATGTGTGTAGTGTATTAAGTTTTTTGGAAAATCGTGAAAAAAAACGATAGAAAAAACAAAGCTTATGAGCGTGTTTCTTTTGTATTTTGATTTAATTTTTTTTTTAATGTCAAGTATAAAGAATTGTGTAAATAATGTAAAATAATGAATGTACGTAGTATATTAATTATTTTTTAGAAATGTATTAGAATTTTTTTTGAATGTTTGAACATAAAAAATGTAGGATTTCTTCACGGCGGCGACGGACACGACGGCGCTAACGAGCGAATGGGCAATCGCTGAGCTCATAAACAACCCTAACGTACTCAAAAAAGCCCAAGAAGAAATCGACCGAGTTATTGGCCAAGGCCGGTTGGTAAATGAGTTAGACGCGCCAAATCTTCCCTACCTCCAAGCGATAATAAAAGAAACGCTTCGACTCCACCCTCCGATCCCGCTTCTCTCTCGAAAATCCGTGGAAGATTGCGAAATTCGCGGATACAAAATTCCCGCCAACAGTTTACTATTCGTCAACATTTGGTCTATCGGCCGTAATCCGAAATATTGGGAAAACCCTTTGGCTTTTAGGCCCGATCGATTCTTTGAAAAGGGGAACGAGTCCATCGACATAAAAGGACAACATTTTGAGTTATTGCCGTTTGGAACTGGCCGGAGAGGTTGTCCTGGTATGGTTATGGCTATTCAGGAGTTGATCAGTATAATCGGGAATATGATCCAATGTTTCGATTGGAAATTGCCTGATGGCGTCGTCGGACCCCTCGACATGTCCGAGAGGCCGGGATTGACAGCGCCGAGGGCTAATGAGCTTTTGTGTCGTGTCGTTCCGAGGATCGATCCGGCGATCGTTTTTCGATCGCCAGTGAAAGGGTCGTAGAGAAATGCTTTGGAAGGTTTGCTGTGTGTTGTCTGAGCTATGTTTGTGCAATAAAATTTCAATTGTGTTCTTTTTTTTTAGTATTTTAAGGTATTTTTGTTGCGATGCATATAAATTATGATATTTATCCCAATGGTTGGAAATTTATTTGGTTTTAATTTGAAATTGAGGTATGTTTATTCAATTTGTATGATTTTTTTAAAAATAAATATTAATTTATGTTTAAAATACAAATCAAATACATTTTTATTTTATTTAAACTTTCAATTTAAATTTAACCAAACAATTGTTTTTGTTTTTTGTTTTTTGTTTTGTTTTGTTTTTTTTTTTTTTTTAGATTTGGTTCTTTAGATTAAAAAAAAAAGAGAAAAAAAATTAGATTTAAATATTGTTTAATATGGTATAAAATTTTGTTTGATATATTTAAAATAAAATTTTAATTTTGTATGTAAATATACATTCGATTTGATAACTTTAATTGTATGTTCAATATCTTTAAAAAAATATTTCCTCTGCTTTACTTGATTTGTCAATTCTTTTTATTTCTATCTATCCCACATTATTTGTCATTTTTTTCAAAAAAAAAATATAATTATATACTTTAATCACATTTTAAATTTCATATAATTTATAATTTTTTTATATTTTAATTAAATTATTTAGTTATATTAATATTAATTTATAATTATTTTTTACTAAATCATAATTATTCAATAATACACTTTTAATTACTTACTAATTAAATAATATTTAAACTTCAGTGCCTAAACTAAAAAGGATAAATTAGCTGGAATAAAGGAAATAAGAAGTAGATTCTTAGATTTTAAATCATATGATGTATTTATACACTTAAATTTGAAATTTGAAATTTTTTATAATTTTAAAAATTATCATATCAAATATATAATTTTATAAAATACTACCGTTTTAAGGGTTTCATTTGTACGTTAATATTTCAATATTAATTATTATATTAAAATATAAGTATAAATTAAAAAAAAAATATTTTATAAAATTATTATAATAATATAAAAGATAAATGTAAACTTTAAAGGCGAATTATTTTATAAAATTCTCAAAACATTGCATTTTCAAAAGCCTCCGTTTAAAATGAAACCTTAAAATTTGAATATATATATATATATATGTGGAATGAATTTTTATTTAAATTTTTTTAAAGTGGTCAATTATTGATTCGATAGTCGAGAACGGTATTTTAATTTTTTATATTTAATTGATTTAATAAATGATTATTTTAATAATATATATTTTGGACCTATGTTGATATTTGATTACATTGATATTAGTAAACTGTAAAAAAGTTTAAATAAAGATGAGATAGTCAAATTTTGTATCAATAAAAAAATAAAATTGAAAAAAAAATAAATAAAAAAAATGACTGACTCACAGATAGACACGTAATTTAGCTGTTGTTCGGGTACCTCATTAATAATAAATTAATTAATACCATACGCATATCGTGAATGGATCCAAAAAAAAATATTAGGTAAAATAAAATATACTCTCTCTTCACATAATTTGTTCCTATTTTTTATTTTTATATTTTATAATTTTTTTATATTAATTAAATTATTTACTTATATTAATTTTAATTTATAATTATTTTTATTAATAGATTTTTTAATTACATATTAATTATATTTTACCTAAATTTGCGTATATATATATATTATATTTATGTCAGGGCGATAAATGGTACGTCTAATTTGAGCATAAAGTTTAAAAATAATAATATTTTAATTATACAATAGTTAAAAATAGTATAAATACAATTTTGATGGGATATTGGTCAACAAAAAAAGTATTTAATAAAATTATTATTTTATAATTAGATAACTAAATTTAAAATAAAAATATGTATACTTTCTGGCCGGATATATAAAGTATAATAATAAGGGTTTTGAGTTTTGAATAATTAAATTTTAAATTTAAATAATTATTTAATATTGTATAAATAATTAAATATGCATTAATATCATAGTTTTGAATTTAAAACAAATATATAATGTAACATAAAAAGTAGTAGCCATTTCGGCTCATATAAAAAACAATATTTTAACTTTTTTTTTTTTTTTTTTTTTTTTTAGTATTAGAATTTAGGTAGGTAAAATAACCTATAAAATAAAAAATGTTTAAATATATATTTTATTTGAGAGGTGTAATAAAATAAAATAAATTAATTATTTTTTAATTTGAAAATATTTTATTATATATGTTGCACAAATCAAAATATAAAATATTGTAAATAAGTAGTAGTGAGGATGTCATAATGAATATTGTGAATAGTGAAATTTTTCAAAATTTTGTAAAAAATATAAAAAAATATTTATTATGTTAAATACCTATTATAATTACTACGTTAAAAAGAAAATAAAATTGTATTCTAACTAAACAAAACCGATAAACATAAGTACATAGAATTTTTTTTTTTAATGATAAATTTGTTATATTTTAAATATTAATATAACTAGTAGATTTGTTCTCTTAGCAGATAAATTAAAATCAATATTATTTATTTGATATATTTGTCGATACAAATTTATTATTATCATATTTTTTTATTATCATAATATCAAAATACTATTTCAATAAAAATTTAAATTGTTATCGCATTTTAAATTAATTTTAAATTGAAATCAATCCGGTCAATTTGGTTTAGTGGTATAGGGATGAATCAGTGATTGTGAGAGTTGATTTTAATTTTTTTTACTATATGTATTTATTTGGGGGTTGATTTTCATTTTTTTACTAAGTCTTAAATCTTGTTATTTTATATAAAATTCTATTATTTTGTTTAATCAAATATTTAATTTTTACTATTTCATTAATTTTTTTTTAAAAAAGTATCACATTTAATATATATATTTTTATATTATATTAAATATTAATTTTAAATTCAAAATATTATATCAACACTTTATATCAAATCAAATTAATACAAATTTTTATATTTTTATTAATAAAAATTAAATTCAAAATACAAACCCTAATTGTGAATTAGTAGAGTATAAAATACTTCTGTTTACAAGATAAATTAGACCCAAAGCAGAACATACCCAAAATTAGGCCTAAAAGTCAATTATAAATTTCACTCTTGGACTTTAATAATTAGAAAATAAAAAAGAGGCCCAAAAACCAATTATAAATCTCATATCTGGACTTAAAAAATTAGAAAATAAAAAAGAGGCCCAAAATTCAATTGTAAATTTCATCTTTGGACTTTAATAATTAGAAAATTAAAAAGGCCCAAAACTAAATTTTATAAATTTCATCTTTGGACTTTAATAATAAGAAAATAAAAGAGGCCCAAAACTCAATTATAAATTTCATCTTTGGACTTTAATAATCAGAAAATAAAAAAGAGGTCCAAAACCCAATTGTAAATTTCATCATTTGGACTTTAATAATTAGAAATTAAAAAGAGGCCCAAAGCTAAATTATAAATTTCATCTTTGGACTTTAATCATTAGAAATATAAAACAGCTCCAAAATTCAATTATAAATTTCATCTTTGGACTTTAATCATTAGAAATATAAAAGAGGCCCAAAATTTAATTATAAATTTCATCTTTGGACTTTAATCATTAGAAATATAAAACAGGTCCAAAATTCAATTATAAATTTCATCTTTGGACTTTAATAATTAGAAAATAATAAAAGTTAGGCCCAATTAAAAAGGCCCATTAAAGGCCCAAAATGGCAAACCCTAGGCAATATATATGGATTAGGGTTCTTGTAAACATTCATTGAGAGCAGTTCGCTTCACCGCCAACCTCAAACCCTAATTCGGAGAGAAGCAGAGAGGGAACGAAGGGGACGCCATGGGTAATCGAGAAGCTTTCAAATTCATCGTGTTTTCTGTCTCCTTTCCATTGTAATTTGGTTTTTTGATTATCTATTTTGTTTGTTGTGATTAATGTAGCGAGAATTAAGGTGCACGAGTTGAGGCAGAAGAGCAAGGCTGATCTTCAGGCACAGCTCAAGGATCTGAAGGCGGAGCTGGCTTTGCTTAGGGTTGCGAAAGTCACCGGCGGCGCCCCAAACAAGCTCTCCAAGATCAAGGTCGTGAGGCTCTCCATTGCCCAGGTTCTTACTGTTATTTCTCAGAAGCAGAAGGCGGCGCTGAGAGAAGTTTATAAGAACAAGAAGTATTTGCCTCTCGATCTCCGCCCTAAGAAGACTCGCGCCATCCGACGCCGCCTGACCAAGCACCAGGTATACCTACATCGTTTTCCAACTTTTGAATCTAGCGCGCTTGTTTTGATGCAGTTTTTCCGATGATTTGTGTGTGGAGAAAGCTTTACATTCCTCGGTTAGCTTTTATTGTGATTGGAATTATGATTTAGGCTTTTAGGTGATTGCTATGTGCGAATGGTGATTGATGAAATTGAACATGGTTATATGTATATTGTCTCGCATCAATCCAATGTATTTTCGATTCTATAAAATATCGCATTTGAAATATATTATCCATGAAAAAGTTTCAAAACAACCAAAACAATCTTTAGACACAATATTAGGCTTTTTATTTTTTGATGTTGAACTTTGGTTCTGAATGTTGATTCCATTTACATGTTAAGCTGCAAATTATTTATTGTGGTTTCTGAATGGATTGGAATTGTAGTTACAATTTCTCATTAGACATCTAGTTTTGGATGTTTGAAATTTTGAAAAAATTCGCGGACAGCAGAGAGTATTTGGTTTGATGTTATGTGAAAAGAAAAAAGTATATTTGATGAGATTTTTTGTGAGAGAAAAAGGTATATTTGGTATGATACTTTTGAAAAAACTATTTTGATGAATAGTGCCAAAAGTTTCGAAACTCTTTGTGTAACAGAGCACAATCTTAAATAATTCGGGGATTGTTTGTTTTGTATGTCCTAAATATAATCTTGATAACTAATTCTCTGGCCCAATGTACATCCCCGTTTATTCACAATGATATTCAATGTGTGTCGGTTACCAATCGTTGCTATGCCCGCCCGGATGTTACTTTTCTAGACTATTTGTGCAATACAACGCCCTTTTTGCAATCTTATACTTGCACTATATAGAAATCTCGACTAGATTCATTGTGTGCATTCATTTGGTGTGCGATGTCAATAGTATGACTTTAAACGATGCTACCTATTTCATTAAGTGGCAATGTATTGTCACCACTTATTTGCATCACAAATGATAAGGTCGTAGGGGCTGTAAAATAAATCAACAACCCTTGGATTTACTAACCATTTGCTTTTGTTGTCGAAACTGTTGCCTGATTTCGGGTTTTGGATTTATGCAGGCGTCGCTAAAGACGGAAAAGCAAAAGAAGAAAGAGATGTATTTCCCCATGAGGAAGTATGCCATTAAGGTTTGATTAATTTTGTGTTCTTGAAGCTGTTTTTCTTTTGTTTCCGTTGCTCGGATATTTGTTTACTCTTTTTTTGCGGAAGAGTTAAGAGATTTCTATTTAAAAGTGATTATGATGTTTGGATTTATACTACTTTTTATTTAGCATTGTTATGATTTGATAATTTAGTATTGTTTGTTCTTTTTTTGTTACTTAATTTTTTCTCTTGGAACCAATTCACTTGAACTATGGTTAATTCAAAACATGGTTTAGGTGTTTGTGTTTGTTTTGAGTAACAAAGGGAAGATTATTTATTTATTTATTTTTAAGTAGATTATGGTGGAGATACTAGTATCTATTTCCATGTTAACATTTGAATTATGAAAATGAAATACACGACCAAATTTATAAAACTATTCATTAGTAAATTTTATTACTCTTATTCTAAAAAAATACTCTCTTCTATCATGTCTACGTTGCCGTTTCTGTCCATCCTGTTCCACATATTATGTCACTTTTTTTTTAAAAAAAATAATTATACATTTTAATCTTATTTAAAATTTTTTAATTTTTTTTTTTAAATTTTAATTAAATTAATTAGTTATTTTAATCTTAATTTATAATTATTTATATTATAAAATAATTATTTACTAATTACATTCCTCTTAAAATACCGGAGTAATTACTTTTGCCACTTATTATTTCTTAGTTTTGTCACTTGTTATTTCTAAGACAGAACATTAGTGATTTTATCACAAAAATTTATATTCTGTAATTATTTAAATTAAAATCAGAATTAATATAAAACTAAACACGCCCAACAATTTGAATGGGTGTTTTTATATGGGTTTTTGTGTGTTTAAAATAGTTTCAATTGATGTTTTTATTATAGTATGGAAAATTATATAGTAACTAAAAATAAATAATATTTTTTTTTTAACAAAACAAACACTCTAAAAAGCTATTCTCAAATAAATAAAAAATTACTACATAATATATTTATTTAATTTATTTGTATAAAAATTTATATAATTAGATTTGTATTTATATTTAAATATTAACTTTGGACAAAGAGAAAATTTTGTAATAATTTTAATTTAACATAAAAATTTCGTGCAATGTATTTTTACTAAAACATAAAAAATTGTTATATAAATAAAATATTATTCTATTATTTTTTGTATTATCAATTAAATGTATTTATTTCATTATTTTATCCCCTTTTATTTTTATTATTGTTATTTTAATAATAATAATAATTAATTTACTATAATTCTTGTACTTACTCAATTATTTTTTTCAGTCTTTAAAAAGTTTTTATAATAATTTTAATTTATTTTCATCTGTTTACTCTATAATTAAAATAATATTAATTTTTAATTTATATATCCAATAAATTTACATAAATTTGTTAGACAAAAAAATATGTATCTTTATTAAAAAAAATACAAAATAAATAAAATTGATTTTTGATTTTGATTTTGATTTTTTTTTTATATCAAAGATCACAACAGTAGATTTGTGGTCTTTTGTCTCTAAATTTTATATTTTTATTATTTGAACTGTTTTTTAAAAATATTACATATATATATTTTACAAAATATCATCTAATATACTCCCTCCGTCAAGTTAAAAAGTATACATATTTCTATTTTGGGACGTCCAATTACAAAGTAATCATTTCATTAAATACCCAATTTTTTCACAAATACCCTTACTTTACATCACATCATTATTTTTATACCGAAAAAAGTAAGGGCAAAAATATCATTTTACTACTTTTACCTACCCACTATAATTAAAATACTATTATTGCTTAATCTCCGCGCCAAAAGTAATTGTATACTTTTAACTTCGACGGAGAGAGTATTATTTTAATATCATATTCAAATCAAATTTTTTTCAAAACCTCTCAAAAAAAACATAACATTCCAAATAATATATTTTTATATTAATATAATATGAATACAACAATATAAATATATCTTATGCTACTATTTAATTCAAACAAAAAATAATTATTTATTTATTGTAGTAAATTAAGAATACTAATATTTTATTAATTAATAAAAATATATTGTATAAAATATTTTTAATATTTTTACTCTTAAAAATAAAATATAAATATTTTTACAAAAAATAATAATTTTTACAAAAATGACATATTTTATATTGGTACGAATGTACGATTCTATGTATCAAAGATCAGTAGACAGATCGGACAACCAACCAGCTGCCTGCAAGCCTACAACTCTCCAACTCGAAGTTTGATATGTTAAAATATGAAAAAGGTTCAAGATGAAAGAAAATGTGTATCTCATTGTCTTACTCCAACAAAAAATAAAATAACATTTTCTTTGAACATTGATTGCATGCAAATAAAAAGTCAAATATGGAAGGAAAAAAATCTCACTCTCATTCCAAAATAAGTATCGATTGACTATTATCTCTTCCTATGACATTTATGACGAAGTAGATATGTCAAAATTCATCCTATATGCATAGATTATATATGTGTCCAAAATTACTTGACCTTTTGTACAGTGTCAATATTTAATTGGCCAAAAAGGCAGCCTTGTATATTATATATATATACTTCCAAGATTGTTTAGGTTAAGTTTTTCATTATCTGCTTTAAAAAAAATTAAGAGAGCGAGTCGAAAACTATATTTTGCTCTTCTCGCATAATATTTCAAAAAAAAAAAAAAACTCAAATTTCATGTTATAATAGTATGTTATTTATTTTTTGTTGAAGGAAAATTTACTCATTTGTTAAGAGAATTTGTAAAAGAGTTTGTCCACGTGTTGAAATGAAAAAATCGGAGAAGATTTTATACATGTTCTTAAGTGAAAAACCAGCTCGAAGTTGTTGATTCGTGAAGTCGAGATTTTATGCATGTTCTTAAGTGAAAAACCAGCTCAAAGTTGTTGATTTGTAAAGTCGAAGATGATATTTTGAAAATACTTCAGCAATATATTATGACAAACTGCCGAATGTTTGTTTGGTTAAAAGGAGATTTGAAAGAGAATTTAAAAAGAAAAAGCTCAAGCTCCCTACACCCTCGTCCCATCTCAGAACACAAGCCAATGGAAGTTATGGTCTTGCACACATATGATAGAAAAACAAATACATTTTAGTTTAATATTTATGGCTAGAAATTTGTAAAATTTGTGTAAAAAGTTTTTGTATTTTATTCGTGCGCCTTAATCATAGTGGAATTGCTTAAGTTGATACCCAGACATAGACCGATTGAGTGCCGAATTAGATCAACAAACTTTGATATGCATTTCATTATACACAGATTTTCATGTGCAAACAACAAACATACCACAATTCTGACCACAACAAATTTTGATAATTTACATGAATTTTTACTACACATATCACTCAATTTAAGTAACACACTTTCACTTATTTGATATTATTCGTTTTTCAAAAAAATTACATCAAATACACTTTTTTAATCATAAAAAAGTATATCAAATACTAATTATTTACTTTTTTTCCAAACTTCAAAATTTTTAAAAATTTCCAAAAACCCCTTATTTAAACAAATCCTATTCATATGTTCAAATTTAATTTTTCAAAGTAAGAAAACACATCTTTGTAAAACTGTCATATTCAATTCAATATAAAATTCCTGTTCACCAAATATTTTTTAATAAAATAATTTTTAATGTAATATAAATAATTATGTCAAAAAATATAAAATATACTTTTAATTTGAATATTTAATTTTTTAAATTTTTATAATAAGTATTTAAATTTTTTTACATTTTGTGGAAAATATTTTGTATTATTATTATTATTTTTTAAATAATTAAAAGTGATGCCAAAAAAGTGGACCAACATTAATTATAAAGTATTAAATGTATTCTATTCGTTTTATTTGCGTGTATATATATTTATAAAAGCACTACAAAAATTGTCTAAAAAATTAAAGCAATGAACAATATTGCTCAAATTTTGAAGGATATGTTTACTTATAATTTAATCGTGTATTTTAATGTATATAATAAATCAAATATAATACTTTATAAAAAAATTATAAAATAACTAATTAATCTAAATTAAAATTATTATAAATTTTTCACAGAGAAAAAAAAAAATTGTAGATTTGACAGGGAAAATTAAACATTCAAAATTCACTTAAAATATCACACCTAACAATCAATTTCCCTAAAAATAATAAAATAACCTAAATATTAACAAGATTTTTCTTGAAATTCAGTATCCAAGCAACATAAGAATTAAGAGAAGCCCCCTGAAATCTCAATTATGCTATAACAAGAAGCTAAATGAACACCACAGAAATGATCATCCTACATAATTAACTTCAAAGAAAATCTCAAAAGCTCAAGAACCATGTTTCAAATTCAGCATAATGTCTCCTAAACCAACGATGAAACTTGAAAAGAAACGCAGCAACAAAGATATACAAGAAATGGCGCACAAAAGAGCTTACCGGTATATCGCGAGCAATTACCTCAAGGCTTAGTCTCTTCTTCGTCCTCCTCTATCTTCGGCGCCAAGTAGAATCTGATATATCCCATTTCTGCAATCTTGTATTCGACCACAACCGGAAGCTCTGAAGACAGGCTTATGGTGACCGAGTTCGACAATGGAGTTGCCTTAGTGAAGGAGTTGAGATATCGCAGCGCAAATGTTAAGGAAACGGGCTCATGCATTTCTATTACCACTGCTTCTTCGGGCTGCATTGTAGTAAACAAAGGTAATAAGATTTATTTTGAGGCCCTGAGATCGTGTGCTTTCAAAAAGGGTTGGGTAGCGATCGAACCTTGTCGACAGTTGAATTTTGCCTGCAGACAACATTTGCAGTTCCGATGTCGCCTCTTGTGGAGAATTTTACGCCTTCCTTTGTTACAGAGATCACGACTGCACGGACCAATTGTATCAACAGTTCCATTATGTAGAGTTTATGTAACGTAAATTAAAGGGCTGTAATCCATATGATAATTCATCTGAAAAAATCTGAGGAGTTCCATTAGAAATTTTAGTAAAAGATACTAATCCATGCTTGGTTGTAAATTAAGGGTGGGTGGGTTTGAAAGATTTCCCCGGATTTCTACTACTCATTTTTTCACTATAAAAATATCAAATAAAATATCTATTTTCTATTTTTTATATTATGCTAAAAATTAATTTTATATTCAAAACATCACATCAACACTTATTTATACCACATCATAATAATTCCAATTCAAATTAAACCCTCAAAACACCATAATATTGTATTCTTTTGTGAATTTTACTATAAACTTTTAATATTTCCTAAAAAGATATCAAATCAAACAATTAATTTTCTTTTTTTTAATAGTATTATACTACAAATCTATTTTATATTTAAAAAATCACATCAATATTTATTTATATTATATTAAACAACCATTCAATTTTTTACTATTAAAAAATCCAAACCCACATACAAACACACCCTTAAGAGGCTTTTAGTTCGCTTCGCCTAGGGATTCAAATTTTCATGAATTAAATAAATTCTAGGATAATGATGCCGTGATTACCAGTGTCACCAATGCTGCTAAGATCCTTGCAAATTCTTGCAAACTCAGCTGATGGCATTCTGACTATAGCATGGTACTCCGCTTCAGGAATTCCAAGATGCTCACTGTCTATGTCCATAAGCTTCATCTCAAAATCTGCAATCTTATCTTGATCTGTGATGCATAACACAAAAGATGGGTGCTCAAAACAAAATATTTAACTTCCGAATATCAATAATGCACTTAAAAAAGAAAGTTATGCCAGACTTCTCAACAGTTAGCAGATTCTTTCATTCACCTCTAAAATCCAAAACAACTGCAAAACAAATATAAAGCTTATTTGGTGCGCATCAAACTTAAAGAGCCATTGAACACCTCAAACTTCTACACAAATGACTCGTGAATTGCAAATATTTTACCTAACAGAGCCAAGCTTTATGTTTGAACTCATTCTCTTTTAGCATCTTCATTAAGATAATAAAAACACTAGTTTCCTAAAAGAAAACAGAGTGATCTTCAAACCAGTGCACAAGTTCATCTAATAAATTAGGACAAGAACTCTTAACTACAAGATTTAGCTGATAAAGCCAATACGAATATAAAAACAGTTAATTCTCAACAAGCAGCTGAATCAGAAAGGAAGACGAATCATTTCACCAAAATCTCGCTTCAATAACGATTTAATAGATGCATTCAGTCATCCTTTCGACTAAAGTGCAAATAATCATCGAAAAACAACACGATTGAAAAAAAAAAAAAAGTGTGAAAGCGAAAAAGATGATCAACAATTAAATTAAAGAGACGGAAATAAGAAATCAAACTCTTACTGGGGGTTTCAAACATAAAAGTGACAGTATCGCTGCCGTCGTCCGCCTTGAGCGTGATCATGTCGTCGTTGCCGGCGCACTTGAGCATTTTGGACATGTTATTGAGGTTCATGCCCATGGAAATGTTGCGGTCGCACCGGTAGTGCTCAAACCCCTCCGATCTGAGCAGCAGCGCAACCAGAGCGACATGGCTCGAATCCATGGCCTGCAGCGAGAATCCTGTGGCCGAGCAATCGAAATTCGCGTCGTTCACCAGATCCTTAATCGCCTCCATCACCTTCTTCAGCAGACTTCCCTGCACCAGCCTCAGTTCCAACATCTTTGCAAAGCTTAGTCGATCGCTTCGGAGGGAAGATTCAGGCTAGGGTTTTGAAATTTTTGGGGGTGAAATGAAGGGTTAGGGTTCTTATATATATAAGGCGGAGAAGCTGAAATGCGGTGGGAAAAAATTGGAGGCTTTGATTGGCGGGATTTGGAGGTCAATTTTGGAATTACACACCTTTTCGTTCCCGCCAAATTTGTGGATGTTATTGGGAGATTGGATTCTTTCATGGGCTTATCTAGCCCATTTATTTTTTTAAAGCCCATCTACAGTAAAGAGATATAATGGAAAAGGGAAGAGTTTAGCGTAGTACTCCTCCTTCTCACATTGCATGTTTGGATCACGGTAGATACGAAAATTTATGATAAATATAATTAGTGGATAATTAAAGATATATTAGTAAAAATAATTATATATTAAGGTTAATATAACTAATTAGTTTAATTAAAATTTAAAAAAAATTAAATTAAAAAATTAAAAAATGAGATTAAAGTATATAATTGACATGGGACGTGGGACAGCTATAAACGATAATATGGATATGTAGGTGGGACCAAGAGAGTATATATTATTTTTGTTCTAATTCAAAATATTATTTTTACTATTTTCGTCAGTCTAGTTTTAAAGTATTATTTTCTTATTTTAGAAAAAATAATTATATACTAATATTAAAATATTTTTTTAACTTTTACTTAAATTACAAACATACTATTACATATTCAATTACCTTATATATATACACATAAAGTCAAGGGCAAAAATATCAAATTTTTTTACATACTTTCACTGACTAATAAGATACTACTCATTCCATTATAACTAAAACTATTTCTTTTACTATTTTCGTTCGTCATATTATAAAATATTTCTTTTTCTATTTTAGTAAAATTAATTGTACACCAATACTAAAATATATTTAACTTTTACATAAATTACAAGCGTACCATTACACATGCTGCAATCATACCCTTCCAACTTGCCCTTACTTTACTAATAAGGTGTTTTTGTTTGCAAAAAAACAAATGCCACTCTTTCACCGGAACTGATAAAATATTAAAAATAAATTATAATATTTAAAATTTGATTAAAATGTATAATTACATTTAAAGATAAATAAATTATATTAAAAAATAGAAAAAAATAAATACTTTGGGTATTATTTTATTATAAATAGACTTGATAAAAATAAATTTGTCATTGAAATACCATAATCTATTATTAAAATATAAATAAAAATACAAAAGCAAAAGCATCTGATCCGGATTGAAAGTTGCATAGGATATTCTCACTATTTTTATTTATTTATTTATTTTAAGAACTGGAAGTATTTTTCTATGCAGAAATACAGCGAATGACTTAAAAAAAAAAAAAAAAAAAATCCTGCCGGAGCGAGCGTTGTGGAGATCATGGAGCACAGATCCGGCGGCGATGGCACAGATTCTCAGGCATACAGGCTACTTCTTTCATGTCCATCTGGTCTTTCCCCGTCCCAGGTAACAACACCACCTCGAGCATCCTTGTTTGTTTGCAAGCTTTCCCAATACTAAAACGGAACTGTTGTTGGTTTGTAATGCTGTTTGTGAATGCCAGTTGTCGGTGCGATTTGATCCGATCTATGATAGGATTCCCCATCCGGATTATAGCTTGGAGAGCTCCATTTCTGAGGTAGTTGTTTCCAGCTTCTGGATTCATTTTGGATGATCAAACTTTTTAAAATTAAATTTCAATTTCTGGTTGGAAGGTGTGAGTATAATCGTTTTCTAGAATGATTACAGTGATTTTGCAGCACCAGTTATTCACCATCAAACGCTACAAGGTTATACGTAATTGTGCTTCTTTTAATTGCTAGATATGGGATAGGAGAGTTCTTCAAAATCCGTCTTTGTACAATGGATTGAAGTTCAGGGTATGTTTATGCTTGATACTGTTCACAATGTACTGTTTTTCTTGTCTTTTCTCGATTATTTATTACTTACAGCTGTTCTAGGTAAGCAGAACTCAATAGAATAGTTGCTCTAATTTTTGGATGTAGCATGAATAAATAGATATGCATAGACGGGAATTTTGTCACGTAGTTGACGAATGATGCGTTTGTTATTTATTAGTTGATAACTTGACAGTATGGTGGACACACTTTCGGTGACGGGGCCAATCCTGGTCAGAAGAATGATACTTGTCTTCACCTTGGCTTGACAGATTATAGGTTCTCTCTCTCTCCCTCTCTTTCTGCTTGTCTCTCTCTATGTGTGTGTGTGTGTTCTGAGTGTATTTGTGCACAATGACTCCTTGCTGAAATATATGCTATTTAAGTTGCTTTTTGGATGAGTTTTTGTTTTTTGGTTGAATGATGATGGATTACCATTAACCTACATAACTGTTGTAGCAGCCTAAAATCAGATGGAACCATTTTTATGTTTCCACTTGTGTGTTCAGTATATAGTTAGTTGTGTGACTGTTGATATTGGATATGCCATGCTTTCTGATTCTCCTTTCACTGTGATTCTTATGGCCACTTTTTTTTTTCTGTGCAAGGTAGTATCAAATTGTTCTAAAGAATGATGCTTTATTCAACAAAATATTGCTGATTAATGTTATTCGGTGTAACCTTTCATATTATACCTGAAGAAAATTTCAAAATAGACTGTGTGTGTAGTGGATTTTTTGGAGTGTTGAGTGTGTATATCAGTGGGTGTTTTTGGTTGATTTGATTAGTAATCAATAGTAATGCATTGTTAAACATATTTCGGGTATTTGGGAATGATTTGATGATATAGTTGAATGAAAAATTGATGGCTTGTTTAATTTATATTAGTCCTAGTTTTCGTTCCTTCATTGTTTCATTATCTCCAGTGATCCTAAACAAAATCTTTATCTAGGGAAATTTGTGAAATGGAAACAAACATAATTAAGGTGCCATAGGTGCTAAAACTTAAAATTGAAGGGAAATTTGTTAAAGGAAATAAAAAATCCATGAGCGTGTGAATTGTGATGAGATGGAATGGAACTTGTTATGAATGCTTTTAGGTTTTATACATAAACTTCAAAAAAAAAACAAAAAGAAAAAAAAAAAAAGAAAAAGAAAAAAATGGAGTCTTTGATTTATGGTTACATGTTGAAGAGTCTTGACATAAGGCATGTGCCTCGCAACTATTTTTGGAAATGAAGTTTCTCCAATCTCCATGTAATAGTAAAGATCAATATAATAGTTGAAACTTTTATGTACATAACTTGCACTTGAACTTTGCCTTTGTATTATTCCTCTAGGGTTCTTTGATCTCTCGGTATAAATGCTACATATGTTTTTATCTAACTTTAGTTATTTTGATCAGGACATTTGTGGGGACAAATTTGAATCCTCTTTGGGAAAGATTCCTTGCTCCGACTGAAGGTAAATCTACTTAATTTCAACATCCTGTAAAGGCTAACGGGATTCTTATGGTGTCATATTTGAGTGACTTATGATTCTACTTGTCAACTGTGTAAGTATTCCCCTTAGTGCTATTATCAACAACTTGCTTGCTATGGTTAAGCATTAGCAGATTTGGCATACTCTGTCTACTTTATCATTAAAAAAAAAAAAAGTGCATTCTGAAATTAAAAGTTAAAGACAAGAGGAACATTAAATAGATTGGAGAAATTGAAACCATTGGAGAGTAAAGAGAGAAACATTTATCTGTAATGCAATTTTCATGTGGGAAATCCACTACAGATACCGAGGCTGTGCTAGCAAGATTTTAAATGTTCACATGCTATATTCCCTACATGGAATATAGTCGACCAAACAGGGGTCCTAGATTAAGTCAAATTATACCTTGGATGATTCAACTGAGTCTCCTGGCATTAATGTTATTTGGGTTATGGATATTACCTCTGTGAAAGATAAGCTCATGAAACGGTTCTATATAATGCTTGGAAAGAAGACAGTCCATCCCCAAATTATGCACTTTGTTGTTTTTTATTAAGTCGAACCACAAGAATCTGAGCAATTGTGTAGCTCTGCTAGTTATTCCAGAAGTGTTGCTGCTCTTGGTTTTAGAAGGTTAGACCCTTTCCAGAATCATTCCATGTAACCTGATCCCATATCTATTTATTCTGTGATGGATTCCTGGAATGAATTGGATTAAAAATCCTAGCACCACAGTGAATGTAAAGTAATTCTTGTGGTTGCCATTGTGTGTGTGCCTCTGGGTCTAGGGTTTGAAAAGTTAACTTGAAAAGTCCATTGCAGCCATGTGTGAAGTAGTTGCTGTCATGTATCATCCTACCAACTCCATTCTAGGCCTACCAAGGCATCGGATCTGATGTCATATCATAAGAGCATTGTCTATTTCAGTGATATGATCATGCATGCTTGGGTGATTCTGGGGAAGCCTTAATGTATATTATTTGTTTCACTTGATCGACACTATAATCAACTGCATAACCTGATTACTTTATGAAAAGTGTTTTGAAGGTTTAAATTGTGAAATTTGATATGCAATACTAAAATAACTTTGTAGATGATGCAACAAAATGCCAACATACATCTAATCCTCTTGGTAATGGTGCTATTGTGGAAACATCCGACAAAGAGATTGTTGTGCTACAAAGAAGTACCAATGTTGGTGAATTTCCTGGACACTTTGTTTTCCCAGGTGGCCATCCTGAGGTACTACTTAAATGAATATGACTTCCTTTTGTGCCGTGTTTAACTCTGTGTACTTTCATTTCATCATTTGTTAGTTGAGATGCAATTATGCAGCTCTAATTTGACCTCCTAAAGGCTAGCTGTTGAATTTTTTCTAGCAGCATTAAATGTTGATTATCTCTATCATTATAACATAGTGGTTTTGTATTTGACTATCTTTGAGTTGCTGTGTTGGTTTCGGACAGCCAGAAGAAGTTGGCATAACAAGTCATGACAATGCTAAAGAATTAACCCATCAGTTAGTCAACAGAAAGGTTTCTCAAGAAATGTTCGATAGTATTATTCGTGAAGTAGTTGAAGAAGTTGGAGTTCCTGCCAATACCCTGGTGAGTATAATCCTTGAATATATTTCAATGAAATCATATGTGAGATGAATTTTCTCTTGCATGACTGTTTGAACATGTTTTTATGGTTTTTTTGGTGTTTTATTCTTCACTCTGGCTCTATGATATCAATGTTTTTTACATTGTCTTCGTTTCATTGTTAATTTTGCCAGTATAAACTATGTTCACTTTTTGTGGCACTTTTTGAATATGTTATGGTTTATCATAGGAAAAAAATATCTACATGCACAATAACTACTACCAACTAATTCTCGACAAGTTCCAATGTGTGCTCCTTATCCACTTTTAGTTACCATTTGTTGGATATTATATTAGTATTCCAAAAGTTCTTGACTCTTTGGATTGGATATATGATTAGTAGTTTAAAAGCAACTACTTATCATGCTTCCTGGGACAATATATTGATAAGAGGTAAGATTAGGGTTTTACGATGGAATAAAAGAGCATTAGATCTTGACATATTGCAAATGGTTGGATCTTGAATTAATAAAACGATGTTGTTGAAGACCCTAATATAATCTATCAAAATTACATTTATACTCTTTTATACCGATGAGTTTTCAGGTCGAACTTAGGAATTTTGAGATATGAAATTAAATTAGAAAAAAATACTTATATATAGTCTGACAGGCGAAAAAACGATAAATGGCTCGCTGGCAAGTAGGCAAAATAGACAGAAAATAAAAAAAATCAGTAAATGTGAGCGGAGCGGTGGAAGCAAGCGGAGAGATGGCTGATGAGTAGTGAGTGAAGTGAAGATGGAGGCGAGAGGAGCGGGAAGGATGACAATGAGCGGTGTACTTATAGTAGTGAAGATTAGGGGTGGAAATAGGCCAGGCCAGGCCAGGCTTTGGTTAAATAGGCTTGGCCTGTCTTAAAAAGATATGGCCTGAGCCTGGCCTACCAGCCTGAAAAAAAATATTTTTAAAGCCTGAGCCTGGCCTTTTTAAAAGCCTGGCCTGGCCTACGAGCCTGTTTAAAAGGCTACATAATAATTTATTATTATTATTATTATTTTTTTTTTTTTGTAAATTTCGTACTATAAATAAAAAATAAAACAGATACAATTATTTATATTATATATAAAAAAATAAAAAATTCTATTTTTTAATGACAAAAATAATCATTTTTATTGCCATATAAAAATACAATATATTATACTAATAATTTGCAAAAAAACGTATATTACAATTCATTCAAATATATATATAATTATTGGGAATAAGTCATGCAAACTCCAGACAAAAGCTGATAGAAATTACTGCATAATGACATTAAAAAAAAAAAACAGTTTACATCAATCTATTGTCATTATTATATATAAAACTATTCTTATTTTATAATAATAAAAAATAATTTTATATAATAATAATATTATTATTAAACAGGCCGGCCTGTTTAGTAAATAGGCTTTTTCATAAGCCTAAGCCTATTCTGTATATATAAACAGGCTTTAACAAAAATCTGAACCTGGCCTTTCTAATAAATAGAACAGGCCAGGCCAGGCTTGATGTAGGCCAGGTCATAGGCCCCTGACAGGCCGCCTGGCCTATTTCCACCCCTAGTGAAGATGAGTGAGCGATGAGTGATATAATATGATGTAAGGATGTATTGAGATGTGTGTAAGTGATATATGCATTACTAAATGGGTAGAAAATTCATGGATGTTGTAGTATTTTAGAGGATCGAAATCGAAATGAAACACATAAACTAAATATATACTTTTCTTAGAACTTGAAAAATAAAACACAAATCGTAAACAAGAACTAACAAACACACGCCTATTGTGGCTCAAAATATTCAAAGGTATACTCCAATAGACGAAGAACAACCCTGAAAACAACAGCACGATGGTCGATGGCCAACGAACACCCACTGGTGATTTAATCTACAACTCCAAATCGAAAAGTCCACACTTTATCGGAATCAGTTCGATTTAGGGATAATCGAACCGTAGAAAACCTCACCAATCACTCTTCAAGGCACATAGAAGACTCGTCTCTCGATTTTACGGTAAATCGGCAGGAAAAACTCAGTGTCGAATTCACAGTGACTGAAGGAAGAAAATATCGCGAGTGATAAAGAGAATATTAGTGAGAGATGAACACAACAGTGATGCATATAGAATTAAGGGAGAAGGGCAACAATATATATATCACAGTGGACGGCTCTAATCTTTGCCTAAAACCGGCGGATGAGATTAGACTAGGAGGAGACCGAGTCATAAACCGGGTCAGACACGGGTAGGCTGGAAGCGGATCTTGGGTAAAAAACTCAACATTTCTCCACTTTTTTGGTCAAAATTCACACGGACGGACACGAATATCATCACAGCCACACACTTATACTCAACTACACTTGTAAGTAAATGCCAAAAAAAATAAATATGACAAGTTAATCAAAAGTATCAAAATTCAAAATATTTAAACACAACTCGAATTTTGAAATAGGTAATCGCTTAGTGCCTGTATCAGCCGGGATTGAATTGGGAAGGAATTTATTTGAGTTTTCTTTAGCAACTATATCACGTATGAAATGGAATCTAACATCAATATGTTTAGTTCTATCATGAAAAACTGGATTTTTGCACAATTGAATCCCTGACTGACTATCCGAGAAAACTTCTACCTTACCTTTCAAAAACCCAATTTCAGTCAACAAGTCTTTAAGCCATAAAACTTCTTTAATTGCTTCTGTAACAACAATATATTCAGACTCGATAATCGACAGCGCAACTATGTGTTGCAACTATGACTTCCAACTCAGACAAGAACCACAGAATGTAAACACATAAGAAGTAGTAGACTTTCTACTCATCTTGCATTGCTTGAAACTATTCATTTTTATGTTCTGATCTTACAGCTTCACTAAAAGTTTTAGGTTCATTGCCATCAAGAGAATCAAACATACTAAAAGAATATGAAGTTAAATCATAATCATCTAATCTAGCTGGAGGCCTAAATTTCTCCTTGGTGTTCATTAACACACGGACCAGCACTAGATACACATAAGTTTGAACCACTTGGTACATAAATATCACTTTTAGACCTCTCTAAAACTGAAACAGCAGCTGAAACATAATTAAATTCATCATATTCAGACATAAAATCAGTTTCAGCACTCTTTCATTCAAAAGAATTAACAGGATATCTATTAGACGCCACCGTATTTGGACTATTATCACAATCAGCAGTGGTTTTGTTTAGACATGGCATATCATGTTCATTACAAGTCACGTCACGGCTAATTACAGCTTTAAAACTTGGATAGTTTTTACACCATAATCTATAACCTTTAACATTTTCGGAATATCCCAAGAAAACACATTTTTCAGCGCTTGGTTCAAGTTTATCAGATTTTATAAAAGTAAAAGCAGCACAACCAAAAACCTTGAAATTTGAAAAATCCACAGGTTTTCCTAACCATACTGTTTCAGGGGATTTGCCTTCTAAGGCCCTGGAAAGAGATCTAGCTAACAGCTTCTCCCAAAACTTTTTGGATAAACCCGAGGAGGCTAACATGCTCATTATTCTCACAAGGAGAGTTCTATTCATCCTCTCAGCCACCCGATTTTGTTGGGGTGAGTAAGGGACTGTTTTATGCCTAGTTATGCCAAATTCAACACACAAAGAATCCATCCATTGGTTACAAAATTCTAGTCCATTATCAGTCCTTGAATATTCGATTTTATGTCCTTTTTGGTTTTCTATTAAAACTTTCCGGTTTTTTAAAAACATCAACAACATCAGAGTTGTTTTTCATTAGAAAAACCGTTACTTTTCTTGAAAAATTATCAATTATAGATAAAAAAATATATCTATTTCCACTATGTGTGGGTTCACTAGAAGGACCCCACACAACACATTAGGGGATGAGGTGTTTTGGAATCGGACTCTATGTTGTTTACCAAACACAGAATCATCACAAAAAGGCATAGAGGACACTTTACCTTTACCAAAACAACCACTTTTGCTGAAGATTTCTAAACGTTTGTTATTAATATGACCTAGTCTTTTATGCAACAAGACTATTTTGTCATCACACATGAAATTAGAAGCATTTTCAACACACATTACTGACTCCACCTTAGTAACATATAGGTTATTTTTCCTTTTATCCTTAAACACAACCATAGAACCTTTAAAAACTTCCGTTACACCATTACCCCATTTTCCCTAAAGTCCTATATCCTCTAGCCCAACACAAGATAGCAAATTATTACACAAATCAGGCTCATGTCTCACATTGTTCAAAGTTAATACAAAACCAATTTAAGTCAACAAGCCTTTAAGCCATAAAGCTTCTTTAATTGCTTTTGTAACAACAATATATTCAGACTCGGTAGTCGACAACGCAACTATGTGTTGCAACTGTGACTTCGAACTAACACAAGATCCAGACAATGTAAACACATAAGAAGTAGTAGACTTTCTACTATCTCTATTATTAGCATAATTAGAATCCACATAGCCTTTTAAAACAACCCCCTCTTCACATTGTTTATGCATCAATCCTAAGTTATTTGACCACACAAACAATGCAACAACCATTTCAAAGCAACCCAATGTTCCAACCCCAAATTAGACATATATCTCTCAAGCAACTAACATCATATGCATTATCGGGTCTAATACTAACCATGAGATACATAGCTGAACCTATGACATTCGAATATGACACATTTTTCATATATGTAAGATCTGAATCACTTCTAGGACACTGATTTTTACTTAAACAAAAATGAGAAGCAAGTGGCACATTAACAACTTTGGGGTTGAACATATTAAATGTTTTCAGAATTTTATCAATATAGGTAGGCTGCCCCAAAAACAGATTTTTGTTTTGCCCATCTCTTTTAATATGCATACATAAGATGACTTTTGCATCACCAAGAAATTTCATTTAAACACTTGTTAATTTAATTTATAATTTTCAGATTTGGACTAATTAACAACATATCATCAACATAGATCAAAAGAAAT